AAATCTCAGCGTGTCCCCAAAGAACTGTAGGAGATGGAAATTAAATCCATCCATTACACTCACCAGGCAGGGTGCTGTCTGGGCAGGAACACTGCAGTTGTACACCTGCACATTGAAAGGATAAAAAAAGGAGTATTAGAGAAGTGTCAGAGGCAATCCAGCACTCCACAGCAAAGTATTTCAGGCCATAAAACAAACTCACACAACTTGGAAAAACAAAAAAGGAATAACACTAAACTAAGCTAAGCAGCAACACTGCTCAGCACAGCTGCAGCACTTCTTCTGACCCCTGAATTGAAGGATTGCTTCACCCTTGCTTAAAATTTTGTCTGACACCGAGTGCTTCACTGTTTGATCTGGGAAGGGCACATCGTGTGCAGTGGGGAAGAAACACCTTCCCAACCTCCTTCACCGAGTCCTGTGAGCTGCATGTAGCTGCATTTACTGCAATGTCCAGAAACCACATTGAAACCTCACTACAGCTCTGCAAGGCATGACAGCAAAAGCAGCTTACCTGGAGTCGTGGGGATCCAGGCAGGGAGCACAGCTGCTTCCCACAGCCTGGGGAGCTGGGAGCTGAGCCCCAGAGACAGGCAGGAACAGGCCCCACACAGCCACAGCAAAAGTGCAGCGCGCTGTGCCCCCGGGCACGGCTCGAGCCCACCAGCCACGGGGTGAGCTCTGCACAGCCAGCAGAGGGGAACAGGGCAGAGGAGCCCTCTCCACACCCTGGGCAAAAACTCCCTTCCCCAGCTGGCCCTACACAGTTTTATCCCTCTCTCTTTGCTCTTGGCCAGTCACTAAGTGACTGGAGGCTGAGGGCAGGCAAGCAGGTAAGTGAAGACACCTGCAGCTGCACATTGGGCTGCTGATGGGCAAGGACTGGCAGCCACAGGCAGCTCCAGGCAGGAGGGATCTGACTCTGTGCTGGTCCAGCCCCACACGGTGGGTGAGGACAGCTTAGTTGCTGCCAGCCAAATGCTGCATCCCCCCTGCTAAGAGGCTTCGAAGGGATCCTAACCTGGGGCTTGCTCGGGAATTAAGCGGCTTTTAAGCTCTGCAATAAAAAAACATTTGACTTAAGAATGTTGTCATTCGTGGAGGGGGGTTTGCATTGCTGCCTTGGATTTGCTTAAAGTGACCCAGTACACGTGCTGACCAAGGAAATGCACGCAGGAGTCTCCTGGGAGGCTCACAGAGCACTAAACGACAGACACCTCACACTGGGCAGTCGGGTCAACCCAAAGGAAGCAAAGAGTTGGGCTCAGCCTGGCTGTCCAGCACAAGGCGATTCAAGAGACACCACCTGGGCATAGAAATGCTGCTTGCCAGGATCTCCTCATGCCTCTCTGCATGCAAGGAGCCTTCTTGGGCCCCCACTGAGCCCTGCTGGGACAGGCAGACCCTACCCTGCTCCACAGGATTTGCTGCAAACACCAGGGGCTGCACAAGGTGCCAGAGAGCAGCCAGGACAGGAGGCTGATCTGATGGCACCAGACAGTGAGCTTGGTTTGCACCAGCTGAGCACATCTCTCCCTACAGCACCTGGAAATTAGACAAGCTCCTAGTGAAACCATCTGGTAGCTGCTTCTGCAGAGCCAGAGTGGGTCCAAGTGCAGAGGCCGCGTCCTGGGCCAGGTGAGAGGGGACCCTGCAGCCCTGGGAGCACTCCCTGTCTCTCTAGAGAGCCATGGGCACTTTGAGGTGCTGCAGGGAAACAGGTGCCTCTCCCGAGCCTGCAGCTGCCTGGGGAAGAACTGCAGTGTTGGCAAGAAAGCATTTTTCTGCCATTCCTATCTGCATTGAAGCAGTGTCAGACATGGCTTAAGGCTGCAAAAACCAGTAGGAGAAACCAAAATAAATCAAGATCTTTATTTCCCATAGGAAATGTACCTAGATCCCATTTATAGTCCATTTGCCCTCCTCCTTATGTAACTCTTCTGCAGGAAAGGAGCAGAAAACACGTAGAAAATAAACAATTTGCTGCAAAGAATTGGTGCAAGAGCCTGAGTCACATCTAGAAGTGCAAGCAGATAACCTGAGGCTTGCTGAATACGCTGCAGAGAACAATGAACGCTGAGATCAACAGCGTGTGTCATGCATGTACAAACTGGCCCCAGGTAACATGACTAAAGAGGAGCCACTGGTGTGCTTGAAAAAGATGCATAAACCCCACACTTTTGAGTTTATTTTATTACTCGTAACAGCCTGCCTTCTGCATGTCTCATTTCTCTTTATTGAAGCTGTCAGAGGCATTACATTATCTCACATGCGTGCAAAAACAGTGTTTCAGTCGAGCTCATACAGACTTTTAAATGCCACAGCTGAAGAAAACAAGACAGTGGGAACTGCAAAGGGAGGAGGCGGGAGCAGAGCCCAGAGCACACACCTACGGGCAAAATCTCCAAAGGCTTCACAAACCAGCCAAGCCGCAGTCTCTAACCAGAGACGGTCGAGAGGGAAAGTAAAGGTACTTCTCTAATAAGCAGGATGATTCACTGAAGAAGGGCAAGCAGTCCTGTTGCAACAGAAGGCTGATGAGTAATTAATGGCTCGTCCCAGGCACAAGGCTGAGTCTCTTACCCTAGTGCAGAGCCATCTGCCAAACCAGCTCTCCTGACAGGCCCAGGTATTGCCCACCCACAGTGCTACGCTGAAAATTCAAAAAAAATAACATTGCACTCATATTTGCACAAGAGTTTCCCAGTGCTGCCCAGTTCTCCTCAGTTACTTATACTCGGCACAGCATGGTTTTCATCCTCATTAGCACCCTGTGACAGGGAAACACATCCCAGCTATAAAGAAAGAGATCTAACCAGATAGCCTGTGAGGGGATGTATTCTTTCTCTTTTCTTGTGAGCATGGCACTGGCAGCAATCCTGGCAGGTGCCAGGAGGACTGCTGTGTGGAAAGTACCACCCCCCAGTCCCTGCACACGATGCTCAAGGCACTCACTCAACTCTCCAGCCATTCTGCTCATCTAATTTCCACGATGTGAAAAACAGTGTTGGCAATATCAGCTGCTAATGGTCAGAGACAGGCTATTTTTCTCATCCACAGAGGACTGCCTTTTACAGCTGACCTGCCTTCATGCAGCTGATATTTGGACAGCAGGAAATCACAATATTCTGGGGTTAAAAACAACCTCCTCCACAGTTTTTTTCCCCCAACCGGATTTCTTTTTAGTGAGCTGTTCACATCCACATGCGTGTCATGCACAGCAGGAACAAATCACTACTGGCCAGGGTGCCATCAGAGGAGAAGCTAACAGGGCATTATGTACATGTACTCTGGTGAAGTCTGACCTTTATTCCAATGCTGCACATCCTCAAATCCTGGGAAGCTCAGGGGAAGTACTCTGCTGCTCTGTACATATCATAATTGTGGTACAAAAGCAGTAAGCAATATACAATTTAAATCAGGAAGTAGTCATTATAGTTGAGTCCACAAATTTACAGGGCTACTTTTCAAAGTAATTTTAACAACAACAAACAAGGCTCAACACCTCTATGCTATGCAGATGCACAGTGCTGACCTGGTACCCCAAGAGACCAGCACACAGCCTTTCCCAGTGTACCTGCATACCAGTCCTGATGCACTGGGCACAAACCTGCCCAGATCTGCTCATGAACAACATCTTGCTATGCACACGAGCACAGACACAGAAAGAAAACCATCTGGCACACAAGCTAAATGACACACCTCACTGCCTACTGATGGCTACAGGCCACACAGCAGCTATTAGTGTGACAAGAAAACATTCCCTAAATAGCAACTAGGAACATGTCTATCCTCCCTGAGAAGCAAAGCGCCTGTCTCACACAAGACCCCATTGCCCATTCGACACATGGGCAAACAGGGAGGTTTCCCACTTCTAACAAGATGAAAGGAAACCCTCCTTGCATTGCAGTGTGCAGGCTGCTTGCTGGCACAGCAGCTCCTGCCCAGGATGGGACCAGAGAGGAGGGACATGAAACTGCTCTGATAACTGAAAATAGAAGCAGATCCCTACAGACTCCCAAACAGCAGTGAGATGAGACTTTACACTCACAGTGCAGCACAAGAGCCACAACTATAAATTATATTCTCCAGGGGTGGCAGGGTGTGGGAGCAGGAAGTTCACAGTGGAAGATTTGCTTTCCCTCTGAAGGATGAGGTTGGAGTGATAAAAGAGCCCTGCTGTTTGTGGCCCTGCTACTGACAACCTTGGAAACCCCCAGAGTAGCCTCCCACATACCATGAACAACCTCCCTCCACCTCTGCAGAAAGAAGAGCATTTCACTGACCTTGAATCTAGGGGTGACAGAGGAGGGATGGGCACAGGGACACGCAGACACAACACACAGCTTTGCTGCTGCTTCTCCTGCATGAGACAAGCTCTTCCCTGCCTGCACGACCCACTGCTGCACTCCAGACACGCCTTGCTGCGCATTTTACTCTCCTCTGCTGCTGGAAGAAAGGCAAGACTCTAGCTTTAGTTTGACTATACTAACAGAAAACCACACAAGGGTCACTGTGGTTGCTTGTTTTGCTCATCTTTGCAATACTGTCTACAGCTTTCTGGCCACCTGGATAGCTTACTCAAGCTTCTCAGCCCCTACCTCCTTGCACCAAGTCCTGGGAGGAAAGGATTTTGGAAACTGCCAAATGCAAGGTGTGAATAGCCTGTGAATGCAAGTTCAGCAGCTCTTTAAACACTGCTTACACAGATCCTGTGGTTTCCTACTCCTGCTGGGAGAAAAACCCCACTGCAGAACACATTGATTCAGCCCAACCCACAGTGACATAGCTGGGGCAGCCACCAGTTTAGTCACTGCTTGTGAAATACGGTGAGGGTGGTTGTGCAAGGAGACAAGGAAGTGAAGGTGTCCATGCTACTGCTTGCAGCAATACCCTGCCTAGAGTAGGCAAAACTTCAAAAGTCCAACACCCTAGAGCAAATTTCAACTCATTTACAATTTTCTTTCAGTTTTTTTTCCACTGGGAAGGGTCCTCCCCATTCACCAGCAGGCATAGGGGAACAAAGGGTACTGGCTCCACTCCGCCACAGTCCCATGGGCATGTCCTGGAGCACCCTGTGTGTTGTACTCTGTGGAGAAGGCTGAGTAGCTCATTGCCCTGTACTGGCTGTGGGAAGGCACCATCCACTGCCCGAGGCCCTGCTCGGTGCCATAGGGACTGTACATGGGTGCTCGGGCCCCAGGTTTCCCAACAGAGTCTAGAGCCATGTTCACCACTCCTGTGTAGTCCTGGGGAGGAGGCAGAGGTGGGGGGAGTGGAGGCAGGTTGGTGAAGCCCTCAGGGAGCTGTTTGGAGTCATGCTCGGGCACAGTGGCAAGATCCAAGGCATGGCACCTTGCCCGGAAATCGTTCAAGGTTGCGGCATCGCGGGTGGGAAGCTGCTGGCTGTCCCCAGCTTCGTGGAACCTGAGTCAAGGGCAGAGAGAAGAGCAAGTCAAACCTACTGCAGCAAGAAACCACTGAAAACTCACACCGATGCCCTGGGGAAAGGATAGGGCAAGCACTTAGCATGCCCTCTTCCCCTGCTTACTGCTTCATCTTACTGTTAGTGTGGATTTTAGTCCAGGCCTCACTGCCACTCCCAAAGAAAAACAAAATGCCAGAGAAGGTAAGTCCAGACTATCTTAGTTCTGGCTCAGTTATAATCCGGGCTCACTCGTGCCCAGACTTTGCAATAAGGAGGGAAAAAATCACTGGAGTCCTGCCACTCCTCTAACACACTTCCTCCAAAGGACAGACAAACCCTGCAGTATGCAGAGCTGGCTGGGTGAGCATTTTGGGACAGAGAAATAAAGAGCTTTGCTAAGACATGAGTACACCCAGAATCAGTAGGTTTGAAGTAGCACAGAAAGGCTCTCTGGGAATCTATATCGAAGCTAATCTAGCATCTCTCACCCATGTATGATGTCCAACAGAATGGCATCCTTCCCTACTCCCAACTGGCTGTTTTCCTTAGGAAATACCCAGTAGAATAGAGGAACCCCATCAATTAAAGAGTGGCTTTGGACCAGAAGGTAGGACTCACCGATATGACTGGTAGGACGGTGTTGGCACTTGCTGCTCTCTGGCCAGACCCTCCCTCTGGTCAGCAGGCACTGGTGAAGCTGCAGGGAAGGTATGGCTGCCATTCTGCTCCGAGCTCCAGAAGGGATATCCGCTGCTGACCACCACGGGGTTACTCTCTTCCTTCACATCTACATTCTCATCCTTCTCAAAATCTGACTCACAGCAGGAAAAAGAAAGAATAGAAAAGAATGAGAAAGGGGAAGAGAGAGACAGAGTTCACAATGGTCTGTTGGCAGCTGCATTAGTCGCAGGATGGCAAAAGGAAACACACTAACACCTCTTCTGCAGTGCTTCAGCCTTAAGGAACTAGCCATTTCCAACTCTTTTCTGCCCAGACACTGTGGTAGTCAGTCCTGCCCTACCCTCTCTCCTTAGCTGTGCTACTGCAAGCAGCACCATGAGCTGCAGCAAGGAATCATCTAGCTTAAAAAACCTTTTGAATATCATTCTCTGTGTTTGTTGTGATCAATATTACCATGTTCCTCAGCATCAGGCTCCTTTTCCTCAGGCAGCTTCCTCTTCTGGCATTTGGCTCGTCCTTCCCTGGAAAGAAATAAGACATGGGGTAGCTTGTATGTAAGCTTTTTGCCTAGATAAACATGCAGGGATGCTAGACAAGCCCTGGAAGCTAAAATCGTGGGATGAACTTTTGAGACACAGCTGTACACATCTCCCAGTGATTGGACCTGCCAGGCTTTGGGGAACACACCCAACCCTGGAGTTAGCCATGTGCCTGCCAGTGTGTGCTTCCAGCAAAAGCCCTTGCCCATGACACTGGGGATAATCAGGAAAGGGGCTCCTGCCTCATGTTCGTACAAAAGGCATGATCACCTTGGAAACTCAGCACTGGAGGTTTTGGCACTGAGTGTATAAGTGCAGCCCGGGGTTGGATATGCACACAGGTATGTGTATAGTAGGGTGGGTCTGTCGTTTGGAAGCAGCTCTTTCCTAAATGGAAAATGAGGCTAAGCTTAGGCAGCAATGATACTATTAGGAGGAAAAAGAAAATTCATAACATTTTTAAAGTTTAAGTAAAAAAGAGTCAGTTTTGGCCTTTTTCATCAGGAAATTAGATTTTTTTTTCAGGCACAAAATAACAGAAAACAAAATCTCAGATATTTTTGTAACATTTCTGCTTGGAAAAAAAGCATTTTTTTCCTTTTCTATTGCCAGTCTATGGTTGCATTTAAAAATTTTTTCCCATCTCATCCACTGGCTGCCCTCACACCAGGCAAAAGATCTTGCTGGTATTAGTATCCATCTTTCCTCTGGCAGACAAAAATCTCCTGTTGGAAGAGGCTCATTTCCACCTACAGGAAAAGGAGATGAGGGAGCCTCCAAATGTCAGAATCAAGCTGATCTTCAAAAGACCAAACGATCTGCTGTGGACTCCTGTTATCACTGCTATTCACATGTCAGACTCCAGTCTAGCTCCAGCTTGCAAGGGAATGCAGGTCTCAAATTTGTCACACCTCCCACATTTCTGTAGGAATTATCACCTCCCACTTCCAAAGTCTCTTGGGAGGAGGCTGCACAGGGGGACATCATTCCCAGATAAAGGCAAATGCAGTGTGTACAGTGCAGCAGGCTTGGCAAGGCTGGCTGGAAGAGTTTTGGTCAAAGGCCTTGGGTAAAATTCACAAGAAATTAAGGTGAAAAATCAGTTTACCTTCGAGTGTTCCTCCCGTGCTCACGGAAACCTTTAGCAAATGGATTGTTGTCAATCTTGAGCTTTTTAATCTTAAAGCAAAGGGAACAAGATTCAGTATCACAGTGACTGGTTGGTATCTTCACTGTTTCAAGACCTCTACCACAGTATTTATTACAACAGCTTGTCTGAGGGTTTTGGCCATGCCCCTGCCACAGTATCTGAGCTCTCCCAGCAGCTCTCATCATTGATTAGGAACTGACATGCAGAGAAAAGACTTTGCCAGGGTCGGCAGGGATTTGGGTGAAATTCCTCTAACTAGAGAAATATATAGGGTCAGTACCTATATCTGGACTTTTGACCGTACCTTTCACTGCATTTGGGGTTCTGTGTGTCACTGACAGTGCACTTAATACCATTAAGATGCATGATTCACCTCATCACAGAGAGGATATTTTCCATAGGAACCATAATGCGACTATTTCTTCCCAGAGTCTGTCACAGGTGTACAGGGTGAGTAGCTTGGAAAGAGACATCATTCTCTACAAGATCTACTTAGCACCATGTCCAAAAGCAGTGCTTGCACACCATACCTGCTCATTCTGGTAGGCAGTGACAGAAGTGAAGACAGTCTCTGGGAAGCTGAAGACCTGGAAGATGCTCCAGCGGACACTGAAGAGGTCGTCTGCCTGCACAATGTGGAAACGCGGCTTGTAACGGTGCATGGAGTGGAGGATGATCTGGCACAGGGACAGACAAAGGAGAAAGTTTCTACGTGCAGCCAGGGCCAACACACTGTGCAAAGTCTCCTCTAGAGGCTCTCAGGACACCCATTTCAAACCAGGGGTGCCTGCCTGGGACTGGTGTCTCCACCAAGTCTCTGCAGTGACAATGCAGACCAAAGCTTTCCCAGCAGATAGCTACGAGTGCACAAGGGCTGGAGTGAGGAAGGCCAAAAGAGCACTCAGACATGTTTTAATTCCCACATGATCTAATTTCTCACAAATCTCACTTATTTCTCACAACATTCATCTGCAAAGAATTCCAAGAGAACACAGCACAACCTACATGCCCGTGTTGATCCAGGGTGTTGTTGGTGAGCTTCAGTTTTTGGAAGGAGACAGGTTCTTTCATCCAGTGGCTGCCAGGAGCTGGGGAATCTGGGTGGACATAGGTGCGACAAGGGAGATGGGGCTCTGCTTTTCCAGCAACTTCCCATTGATCTTTATTCCACTGTGAAGGGAAAGACAAATCTGAAGCTTACAAAACCTCCTGCTTTCAGTACGGGAAAGCTCCAGCAACTTTGCTTCAATGTCAATTCACTGCACCCCTCTGAAGCACAAGTAGCAGATTCTCTTTTATGAGCCATGATCATGTTACCAAATCAGCTCCAAGTTTAGGCCTCATTTTTCCTCCCTCTCTCCCATCGGCTGTCAGAGAAGTCTGTCGTTAATCATGATTAAAACTGTACTGCTTACAATGAAAATTAGTTACCTTTCCAGCTGCTCCCCAAGCAAAACTGACAAATAACTCCAGAGAGGCATAAAATCCACCAATTACTTCTGAACTTTGTCCAAAGAGAATTTACTTATCAGTGTGCCTAGTGAAGCATAAAGATTAATCTACTTCAAACAAAGATGGAAGGACAGCATAAATTCTGTTATTTAAAGTACTTACCTTGTACCTGAAGTTGTCCACTGGCACAAAATCTACCAGCATGAGGTACTTGGCATATGGGATTAAGCCAGAGACTTTGATTTTGCATTGTGGAAACATTCGTCTAGAGGAGAAATGAAAAATAGAGTCTAAAGCTTTCTCTGTAAAGTGGCTGTTAATGACCAAGCAGCATGCCATGTTTACTCACTCCTGTGCAAAGTTCTGGCAGCAGTATTTCTCTGGCCAGCTATTGACCATTTGTCTGTCTTACTGATGGGCTGTCTAGTCCTATGGGATTAGGTGGGATAGACACTAACAAAGCAGCAGTCACTGACAGCCTGACACTGCTAGTGCTTTTGTTCTTCCAATTCCTGTACACAACAGTGGGAAACTTAAAGAAACTATTTGGAATTTGTACATAGTTCCTAGCCTGCTGCAGTTCTCACAGACCTGGAGATTAGAGCACTTTTGAGCATGGATAGAAAAAGTGCTCTCATCTAAGAGCACATCCAGCTTTCTGTTCCTGTACTCCCTGCCACTGCTTTTAACTTCTGACTCTGCAAAAAAGCTTTAACACCTACCTCCCTACCCAAAGGGATTATTTTAGCTCACAGCAGCTTTGACATAATACATTACAGTTTCACAATTCCATATTCTTTCGCGGCAAGCTCCACAATACATGACTCATTTATACTTTAGAGCAGTCTGCACGCACGTATCAATTCAGGTCTACACCATGTTCTTGTCTGCAAATGCAGACTCAAACTCAGGCTATTTACTGCTCAAGTGCTGCTGCCTGTGACCCAGGTAAAGAAAGCCCAGGGCATTTTCCACAGCAACCTTGAAGTGACAGGAAGAACACCAGTGTTAAGTGGTGAGATAAGGGTACAGAAGTTTTCTCAGCACATCAGCCCCACAGTGACCTTTTGCACTTCACAGTTTGGACTTCTACAACATCCTGAAAGTGCAATTCTTCTGCCAGGATCATGGAGATGTGCATAACTGGCTACAAAATTAGTTTAAGGGCCACCATTCAAAAAATGAGCTCTTGGAGATTTTGACAACAGTTCGGAGGGGTGCAGTGTGGGCAGATGTCCTGTGCCCCTCCCCTCACCTGCCAGATTTGGTGATGACCATCTCAGTTCCTATCTGGTAAAACTTCATCCAGAGACCCATGTCCTCGAGGGTGACCACAATGGAGCTCTGGGGGTAGGGCTCCAGGATGGGGGAAGGAAGGGCCTCACATGGTGCTTTCGTGTCTAGAGAGAGAGAGAAGACATTGACTTCAGACAGGCAGGAGAGGAGCTGACATGGTGCAGCCCCTCCTGCTCAGGGACTGAGCAGTCTGTGTCACAGCAAACCTCTTAAAATCTGTTATGTTTCTTCAAAGGATTTTTGGTACTTAGTAGGCCCAGAGGCATAAAGCCTTTTCCCACAGGTTTGGTTTTAGCTGGTAGCTTCTTTTGTAAAGATGTGTGTGTTGTACCAACTCAACCTAAATTCCCCTGCTACAAGACTCATACTGGCATGTGGCCACAATCCACTGTTCTGCTAGGATCAGGGTTACACAAAACACTTTACCAAGAGAATACAACAAAAGCTGAAAGGATTGGGAAGATTTTAAGTGTATCAGTGAGTAATGGGAGAAAACAACAGGTAGGTGGTAGCAGAGGTGAAAAATCCCTCCAGAAGACAAAGATGGGACAAGACAGAAGTCCTAAATGTAAGTGAAGGCAAGAAAAGGAGGTGACAGAGACAGACTGTGGAATATTCTGAAAAGAGTTCTGAACAGAGTCCACTGTTCTGAAGTGGACTTGGAGACCTCTGAGGAGCCTGTGATGGCAGTGGAAGGTGCCTCTCCAGTAGCACACCAGCAGAGGAGCTGCCTGCAATATGCCTGCACTTTCTGTTAGAGGCAGAGGACTAACTGTGGTCATGGGGAAGAGGAAAGGAAAACTATTTTGGGGAAACTGTCTTTGGTGTTGATGGTACCAACCACCACCCTACAGCTGTTTGGACTGAAAATCTCCTACAAGTATGGGATGATCCTGCTCGGTGGGGGCACCCACAGCAGCAGTGGTGTGCCCAGCTCAGTGCCAGCAGAACACCTCTCTGGGTGATGCATTAGCAGGCATGGTTATTTGTTTAAAAGGGAGATTTTTCTGCCTCTCAGATCTTATTCAGTGCACAGCAGAAATAAGGGAATTTTCACTCTCTTGCAGCTTTCCTGAGTAATGTCTTCCAAAGAATATTCATGAAAAATAGAACACTATTTCCAGAGAAATTAGCTTTTTTCATAAAGGGACATCTTTCCACAAAAACAACCCAATGTGAGCCTAAGGGGTTCTCCCTTCAGTATTAAGAAGTAAAAAAACATTTAAACATTATTTTGTCAGTTTGTAAAGATCTTTAGGCATTTAACAAAAAATATCCTCTACCCTTTTTTTCTGCTTTGATCCAACATTAATGAACTGGCTAAGAAGTGACACCTAGTCTGCTCACTAAGATTAGCCTGTTAACATCTTCTTACTAAAGCTTCCCTCATATCCTCTTGCAAAGACATGAAAGCTGCCATGAGACGATGCATTCAGTAGCTCAGTGCAGCACATGTATCAAAAGGAATTACAATAAAATTGGGCTGATTTCCCACAGGAGCCATCCAGTCGCAAATACATGCAAACAGATTTTGATTAGCTAGACAGATGCTCGCTCCTTCCCCAAATGAATTTGAGAATTAACATTTCTGTAAGCAAATTCCAGTGCCATTAAACGAGGCTACAACAAGGCAGATCTCAGGAGTCCTTACTGAGGGGAGACTTCCAATGAAGTCAAGAGGAATTGAAGCGAAAGGAATTCAACAATGAATTAAAAATCAAAGGCAGATGTTATAATCTGGTTTTTACCACAATGAGTCCACAAGGCACCTGTAGAGTGAGATGCTGCAGAGGACAGGGAAAAAGTGTGCATGCAATTAACACTGCAGCAAAGTAGTTAATGTCTTTCACCGTGCAGGTTTTGTGTGCACAGGCTGAGGCTGGAAAACAAGACATTAGCAGTTCGCATGAGAATCTGGGCCCCAGCAATGGTGTGAGCTTGCAAATGGATTCACACAGCCAAGGACTGAGCCATCCTGCAGCTTCAGCAAGGTCCTACAGTCCTGGATATGTTTGTAGGATCCACTTTGGATTTCACTTGCAGAGCCAAAGGCTGGCTCGTAAGGCACTTCAAATTCCCTCCTAGTTTGTGCCTGTGGAACTAACGCAAAGACTCAGGCACACTCACCCCAAAAAGATCCTGTGTGTTGGAACTACAGCACAGAGAGGCTTGGTGTCCAAGCACTGAACAGAACCTGTTACAGCTGTACTTTTATAGTTTCCTCCTCTGTGTAACTTAGTTTTTAAGTATTATTTGAAAGAGATTTAAACATTTTCCAAAAATTCTAGTTCTAAGATTTTTAGGAAAGTATTACTATTACCATTGTGTTGGTAACACTGCACGTGGCCCAGTTTAGGATATAATCTTTATGTCCAGATGAGGTTGAAAAGGTTGAAAGCTGCTATGATAAAGGCACTGAAAATCAAGAGATCTTCAATCTATTCCATGCTTGATTTTAAAGTCCTTATACCGACAGGAGTTTGTCCTACAGTTTCTCTAGCTAGAATAAGCTGTACATATCTTTTTCCTATATTGGAGGTGGAAAGGAGAGAAAGAGAAATAAGATTCAGTAGTGGTTGCAGGGGAAGTAAGATCTTTGGACAGACAATCCTCCCATCTAAAGCAATCCCTCAATTCATTGTCACTGCTGAGACAATATTACAACGTCAGAAAATTTGTTGTAGCCTTCCCGAAACATATGGGATAGAATTTGCAATACTGGGAAAACTCCAACCAGGCGAAAAATATGTTTCTTACCTTCACTAAAATCAGTTATCACTTTTGCTGCTGTTATCTGAGTGAAGAACTCCCAACACTAACAGCTATCCAGTGTCCACAGGGAAGGAATGCACATCAGTCTATAAATCCTTCTAAAAATTCATCTTTCCAAGAATCAGAAAAACCCCATGTTCTCTGAACGTCTGAATGCCAGCAGAAACACACCGACCCTCTGGAGGGAACCTCCTTTCTCAGAAATAGAGTTTTTTGGCAATAACAGAAGTATGAGGTTTCTACAAAGGCAACGGCTTCATCTCTCAGATACATCCCAATCACCTCCTGGAACATTCCTGCCATAGGGGGTCATACACTAGAAGCAACTCAGTAAGAAGATGAGGTGACTTCTGCAATAGTTGGGATCTTCTACGTGATAAAATACCATTAATACAGTCTATATTTTTTCATTGTTGCTCTTTTGTTTTTCAACACAAAATTCTTTTCAAGTGGCAGAAATCAGTATGAATCAGATTCAAGACAGCAGGGACTGAAAAACCCAAAACAACAGCTAAAGTGGAAATTAACTGAGTCACTGCACATATATTTTGCTTACGAATGAGACACCACCTTGCAGAGGAAGAGAAAAGAAGCTGAGAATGGCTAGTCACCTCTAGTGAGGGCCTATGAACTGCACACCTAAACCAGATAAACAGTTGTTCCCTTCTGATGTAGATGAGTTCAGTTGCACTGACAAATGCAGTGCCTCTGGGCTGGCCCTTGGTTTCCCAAAGCTTATCTGTCATTGTGCCCAATCCAATCATGCCCCCACAGGAGAGATTAACAGCGCGTTCTGAGAATGAATTAAAACATCAGGAAACCCTAAGGAAACCACAAAAGTCCTGTGTTGGGCATGAACCTGTTTGGGGTTTATAATTTTAAAGGGCAGAGGAAAAAAAACACAAATCAAAAAGCCAAATGGTTTGTATCAGAACTACTAGTAGAAATATAACAAGTATTTCCAAACCTTCTGTGGCCTTCAACCTGAGGAACTTGGTACTTCGCAGACAAAATAACACCTCCAGTCCTCACTGAACAATCACACTGCACAAGGTGATGTGGATGAGGGAATTCTGGGCACAATTGTGAGCAAACCTTTGCTACCTTCAAAAGATACTCCGAGGCTCACGAAAAAAAGCTCAAACCCACAATTCTCATCTACTCCTACAAAAAACCCAGCTTACAAATACTCTCCAGCCCCATGCACTCTACTATAAATGCTGGTAGCCCTTCAGGAGCACTTGTTCCCACTCTGACGCAAGTCTAGGATCTTTCCATGCAATGAGAAAAGGGAGGGAGTCCCACACTCACCTGGCAAAGCTTGCATTTTTCCATGTACTGTGATGTCTAGGAGTCTGCACGGTCAAGAGAGCCACCAGAGTTCTTACGAGGGGAGCCAAAATAGTCCAGTTCAAAAGCAGGCCTGATTTCCTGAAGCAAGGATAAGCTCTCCCTTCTGAGATCCAGTGTCAAGAGTGAGCGGGATGAGGGTGAGACTCCAAGCACAGCTAGCCAAGGTGATTTCCTGCTTTATGGCGGCCAATGAGCAGGGAGGAGCTTCCCGCCCGGGCTGTCCCCTTGTGATCCTTTGATGTCCAAAGGGACAAAGAGAGGAAGGATCGGCAGCAATGGCTGGGGCTAGGGGAAGAAAATCAAAGAGAATTAACATGGCTTTGACATACAGGAAACCCTACAGGGGAAATGCACCTTGATTTACTGCTAACGCACTTTTAAACAAATAGAGACAAGACCAAAAACATCGGTTGAGGACTTAGCTACAAAATTACAAACATCCCTGAAATGGCAAGAAGGGAAAATTTCCTTTTGGCTATTCCACGGATTCATGATCATTCTCATCTTCAGCACCCAGAATCATTTTACTCTTGATTTCTGGTATCAGAATCAGTACTGCATCGAGCTTGTTCCTTCCCAAGTGGGTGATTAGCAGTCTGTGTTAAAGTTTGCCCTCACAACAGGAATGCTGCTGCAGCACATCCATTCACCAACAGATGCCTTCTCCAACAACATAAACAGATTTGATGATACCTTACTTACCTACCCATTCTCTGCACCCTCAACCCTTAATGGCATCCTTGACTTCCCCACTGAGCTGTGTCCCTGCTCGGGTGCTCAGGGCTGAGGCTGCACCATGCAGCACTCTCCCAGCTGAGCCTCACAAGTGACACAGATGGTTTAGGGGCACAGCCATGCCAGCAGGTCATAGTACTGCCACCAAAATCCTTCAACTGGCACCTTCCAGGGCCAGTGGGAGTGAATCCAGAGCTGGGGTTAGGCCTTGCTCAAGGCACAACTCTTACTGATCAGAAACCGATGGGCTTGAGCATTTTCCCTTAATTAAGTTTATTCTGCAAGTGTGACCATTAGCTTTTGTGCTTATAAGTGCTTACAAGTGCTAAGAGACAGCAATCAAGGCTCATACTTCAGGGCACAACACAGCCACTGGACTTGGTTACAAAGGAGTTCTGTGCATTCACACACAGAAATGGCTGTACTAACATTTGCAGGACCAAGATGACCAAAAAGTGAGGTCAAAAGCAGGCTATCAGTCTCGATGGGCCACTGCTGGGTCCTGCACAGCAAATTCAGGAGATCTGTTGATTTTAAAGAGCTTGCTGTAAAGGCTGCATCTGATTCACTGTCTAGATTTACTCCAAATAAAATAAACATTTTTCTGTTTTGTCAGTGATGTTACTGGGACATCTGATCTTCAGTCTGACATGTAAATCATATTCTGAATTTATATAGTGAGTTCCTACACCCAAACAATATTCCTTTAGTTCTGTTTTTACTGCCTTTTGGAGCGGGAAATGTGAGGACATGAAAAGAGGACAAAGGAGCTTAATCAGAGGAAGGACTGGCTCTCTTTCAGTGGTATATTGAATTTTAGGCATCCCAGTACTAGTCAGGGAGAGAAGAGCCAATGCCTAGTGTGGCAAGGAAGAACATTTAAAAGAAAGGGGCTGGAGAGTTTGAGAAGTCCTGAGTAGGATTTTATAGCAGGAGATGGTCCCTTGGCCCCTGGCACCTCTGAAGGACCATATCCAGCCTTCCTGACACTCCTTTTAAACCACTGGATCATACAGAAGACCACAGGCTCTTCTTCAGCTAACTTAGTGACATCCAGAGGTGTGGAGTCTCAGTACGACTGAGGAGAGGACTATGATGTGGTGGAGAAACATCAACTTGTAGCTCAACTGGACATTAGGCATTACATATGTGGAAAAATAAATCGGAAGGGTAAAGGTCAGTGGAAAATGGTATCAAGGTCAAATATCTGCTTGGACTTGCACAGCCACAACCACACAAACAAGGTAGGATGCAGAAATGCTTTTCTGCTCTGCTAGAGAAGGAAAGCCAGCACCAGTCTGCTCCCCCTCCATGTCCTGCTTTTCTAATGCTAGTATTTTAATTGTAGAAAGCGGAAAAAGGCAACCATAATCAGAATCTGAAAAGGAAAAATAGAACAAAAATTGGGTCAGATTCAAGCTAGCAGGGAGATGAATCAACATCCCACACAGTCAGAAACTGCACAACAGCAGCAGCAGCACTGGGAATTCAGACTTCACCTGACAAGAGCGTGGGATGTGTATCATGACTTACTGCTTCTTCACAAAAGGTATGAGATGGTCTCCTGCTGCCACTTCATTTGCACACTGCGTATCAGCATGTCTAGGGAACACACATTTGCTACAAGTACTCAAATCCTTTTGGCTTCTCTCAGCTGATTGATGGGGAAGGTGGAGTCATTAATTATCCATGACTAGTTAACAACTAGCTTTCTCCCAGCCATTCTAGTTGCACTGGAAAGGTTTTAAAAGTGAAAAAAAAAGTGAACTTTTAACTATTGCTGGAAAGTGTGGCTAACAGGAGCAATCCCCAGGAAATTCATCCCTAGCAAAGGGGGAAATTTAGTACATTACCCTCATCAGTCCCTCTATGGAGAGCCCTCAAGCAGTTTGATGGTAAGTTAGAGGTGAATGTGCTGGTGCCTTAACAATTCACTGGCAAATTGGAGGCTGAGGGTGTGGAAAAGGATGGAAGAGAGTGAATCTTACATGTGTAAGTCTCTGCTCCAAGCTCATTTGCAGCAGCAGGTATAAATCCTGCTGAGCCCAGCTCTAACAGTAGACTCTCCTCTATGCTGAAGGGACAAGGTAGGGCAGTGCAGGAGGGAGGAGATGTGTGATGACAAAAGCAGAGGCCAAGAGCTTTTGCTTTGCATCTCTTTGAGGGGGAGATTAAAAAGAAACATTCCCCTCCGGGTCTTGTAGTAAGGCAAATGTTTTCTGGCATTTCTCTCTCTAACACTACGTGAAGTTTTAACCCCTACTGCTCAACAGGACCCTGCAGGGAGCTGGTTTGCACACAAACCTCCCCAGCACCCTGGCTCAGGGTGACCATCTTGCCATCTCTGCCTGGTGTCTGGGGGTCTCAGACTGCTGGAGAACAGACAAGATGTGTCAACGAGCAGGAAGCATTGACTAACAGTGTCTGAGTCTGCAAGTCACTGTGCCAGATACACCACCACCTCTGCCCAGGCAGAGCTTCCAGGGAAGCATTCTGCCTGGAGAGCAAGCTCAAGTACGAGGCATAAAGTTCCTGCCTGGAAGACTACTGAAATGCAACAGAATCATCTTCTGAAAGAACCAGCCTTGGATTATTGCTCCTGTGTATCAGCTGTGCGTGCAGTAGCCAATATCCAACCCCTGCAGGCTTCCCTCTACACACACAGCTGTGGGGAAGTGTTATCACATCAGCTTTAACAACTGGGTTTAGGTGAAGCTGTGCTATCTGCCTGAATCTGCACAAGCAAGAAAAAGCAGCATGGAGAAGTGCAAACTGCGTTTAAGAGATAATCCCTTCTGAAACACAGGAAAGCCTTCCTGCCATTCAAATGTGACTCATTTAGCCGATTCCCACCTGGCACATATAGGCCACAGTCCCAGAGCATCTTGGCAACTCTTTATGAAGGCTACTCTGCCATCTGCATGGGATGAGTACTGAAAAAGTGAAAAGACAGCATGTCATTAACAGGACCCAAAATAAATACACAGCCCTACACTGATAGCTACTTACTTTCATACTTAATTAACAACATGAAGTGGCCTCAGACACTCCAGAATCTACAAAGTGGCCCCTAAAATGCAGGCTCAGCTCACTGCAGAGCAAATGAGGGCTGATTATGCACAAAGGGCCACAGGGAAAAGCCAAGTTTTTCCAGAGAAAAAGCCTGATGAAACTCTTGTTCCTACAGCTGTGCCGGCCTCAAAGCATGCAATTCCTTGTCCCTGTTACTGCCTGATTCCTCACGTACAGAAAAGTTGGAGATACAAGAGCAGGGTCGGCCAGGACAGAGCAGCTGAGCTGTGGCAGCACAGGCACAGCCTGAACTTGGGCAGCTTTATGAGCAAGTCTCTGTGGGCGGCTACAGGAATGGTAAAAGCCTGCAAAGTGTTTTGAGATCCTCTGAAGAAGTGGTGCATATTATCTCCTATCATGTGGGTAGCATAAGGAACAGTTCCTACCCAGCTCCTCATGGCAGGTCACATAACACAGCATTTTCTTCTGATGGAGGAAAATGGCACCTTTTTCTCCCCTTTTTATGGCTGGGTCTGATGGATTTTTCCTGGGAAAAGCTGTCTGGTGTCTTCAGGAGTGTTACATGTGCAGATATTCCTACCCTAGCACCCACGCAGGGGCCCCACAGACCTGAAAACCCCATACTGAGCCCCAAATTGCATCACCCCCAGATCTTCCCAATGCTCTCAAAAATGCAAAAATGACATTTGGCAAAGCAAACCAGTTGGCTGGAGAGGGCCTGTTGGTAACATCTCCACGCTAATTCACCGCAGGGTCCCTGGACAGGGGCACAGTGAGTGGTGGGGACAGGTCACCCTGAGGGAGGTGCAGGGGCAGCTGTGCCAGGAGCTGCTCTGGAAGGGAACATGGGAAAAGGGCTCATGTAAATGAGCAGCTGTACATTAAAAGTTTAACACAAGGCTCTTCCTCTTGCAGATTCGTGGATTAAGGTCTCTGGCCACTCAGCTGTGCTCCCCGAGTGAAGGAAGAGAGGATGCTGCTCTCTCCCCTCTCATCCCCGCCCAGCGCTCTGCAATATGCGCTGCTTCCAGCGCTTCGTTAGCATGGAGACAAGAAGGGAAATACTTAGCAGCCACTTAACGCTGCAGGCTGAGTTTGGCCTCAAAGGCTACAGACCAGAGTCAAATGCAAAATATGTCTGTCTAGAGCCCTTTCAAGCTCTCGCAGACTCCTGATGTTAGGTGCACTGTTTCCCCGTCAGCCCAT